GCAGGAGCAAAGCATCCTCTCTCCATTTGTAGGCTGACTCGCTACATCGTGCTGCTGTGCTTCACCAAATTTTTTAAAGCCGTGGGACTGTTCGAATCCTACGATCTTCTGAAAGCGGTCCACCTCGTGCAGTTTATCTTTATAGTGCAGCTGGGGTGAGTGTGCAGGGGGTCTGCCACCGTTACAGCATGCTTTCTCTACAGTGCTCTTTGTCAGCGTCAAGCTTATACCCTGCATTATGCTATTATAGATTAATTGAGGAGGAGAAGGCATAGCAGTGGATCCAGGAAACACTGTTCATAGCAGTGGCTTTCCTTCATGTCTCTGCTCACTATAGTTTCAGAATCATAGAATATCTCAAGCTGGAAGGGACCCATAAGGATCATCAAGTCCAACTCCCTGCTCCACGCAGCACTACCTAAGAGCATCATCCAGATGCTCTTTGAACTCTGACAGGCTTGGTGCCGTGACCACTCCCTGGGGAGCCTGTCCCAGTGACCAACCACCCTGTCAGTGAAGAACCTTTTCCTAATGCCCAATCTCAACTTCCCCTGGCACAGCTTCATTCCATCTCCTCATGTCCTGTTGCTGGTCACCACAGAGAACAGATCAGCACCTCCCCCTCCGCTGCCCCCCTGTGACAAAGTGAACTTGTAGGCTGCGATGAGGTTACCCGTCAGCCTTCACTTCTCCAAGCTGAACAAGCCAAGCCTCTCCTCCTAAGTCTTGCCCTTCAGACCTTTCACCCTCTTGGTCACCCTCCTCTGGACACACTCTAATAGTTTGATGTCCTTACATTGAGGCACCCCAAACTGCACATGGTACTCAAGGTGGGGCCACACCAGTGCAGTGTCGAGTGGGATAGTCACCTCCCTTGACCGGCTAGCTACGCCATGCTTGATGCACCCCAGGACATGGTTGGCCCTTTTGGCTGCCAGGGCACACTGTTGACTCATGTTCAACTTGCCATCAACCCATACCCCCAGATCTCCTTCTGAAAGGCTGCTTTCCAGTCCCCCAGTTTGTACATATAACCAGGATTACCCTGTCCCAGGTGGAGAATCCAGCACTTGCTTTTGTTAAATTTCATATAGTTGGTGATTGCCCAGCTCTCTAGTCTATACACATGTCTCTGTAAGGCCTCTCTACCCTACTCTACAAAAACTTTAATGTTTTTGCTGCTTCAAAATTGATCGTACCATGACAGCACTGATCACAGGAAACTCAGGCATGTCCAGATTTTCTTAAGAAAGGCATAGAAGACGAGCTTTCTTCCTTGTAATTTGTATTGCTGTAGTTCCTGTGAGCTTCAGCTGCTGGTTTTCCCTGATTGAGAGCTGAAGTGTAGAAACTGATAACAAATATACGGAAACAACCTTTGCAGACAGAATCCTGCTTCATGTTTACCTGGTGTGATCTGGAAGAGCATTTCTGTAATAAACTTGGCAAAGTTGGAACATTTGGAATCTCATTTTTTTCCTTTTATTTCAAATTTTACGTTTCTGGGCTTCTCACTTGCATGTTCCCAAGCACCATAATCTTTTTCCCCATCACATACTCTTGATTCCAGTTGAGGAAGATGCATGCTGTTTCTTACCATTTTTAACAAGACTGTGTAGTCAGCATTCCATTTGTGAATAAGCCTTTGGGTGTATGTATCTTGCTAATAAAAACCATAGTAGTATTTCTCCTCAAAACTTCTGAGGTCAGTTATTTTGATTTTTGTAAATCACAGGTAGACTTCTTGTTTGCCATTCTCTGAAGAACTTGCATTTAAAGTTGACCAGAGCTGAAGTTCACTTGTCATCACCTTTGTACTGGTATCTGACGTGTAATGCAGCAGGGAAGATAAAACCACTGAGTGTGGTCACTGCATCCTTTTAATGAAAAATGTAGAGGAAACCATTTTGTAAACTGAGCCTGATAAGAGAGACCTAGTTATTTAGAGCTGGTTTGAATAAAAAGCTGACTGCTAAGAAACTAATAGAGAAACCTTTCTCCTTTTAACAGGTCTACATTTTTTATGGTTTTGTTTCAAAAACCATTTTCTTCTGGAAAAGTGGTAACCAAGCGTCAGGTGAGTTGACATATGTAATAGTGTTTCACAACTTTGTAGATATGCTTGACAACATGGCTATTGCCAAAACTGAAAGTGAGACAAAGGTTACTGCACTTGGAAGATGTGGTTGCAATTTCCAGAAGTGTGTAACTAACATTGTGTCTAGTGCACTGTAAAAAACAATAATCATTTTTAGCTTTTCTCAGCTCCTTTTGAGAGTATTGTGAAAAGATTGGTCCCTAGCTCCATACAAGCATCTATTTTGAGGATTGGATCTTCAAAAAGAGCTTAGTCTACTTAGATGACTTTGACAGTTTAGAAGGGCAATTTCTGGACTGCCAGAATGTGGAAGTGCTGCCCCACACCAAAAGAGTGCTTTCTGCGTGGTGTGTTGTGATGAGGGGCTAGTCTAATTGCTCTTCATACCTGTGTTGAGTTCCCAGTATCCCCATAAGTAAGAGTAGGGCCATGTTGAAACCCCCTGTTTTGTAAGAAATAAATTTTCTTCACCTGCTTCATATTCATCTTGATTTTATGTAACTGCGCAAAAATTTGATCTATGCGCAGTGTTACCAGTGTACGTACTGAGAGAATCTGAAAGATAGCATCAGAAGTGTTCCAAATCTCAACTGCTCTTGTGATTAGACAGGTATGGCAGAATTTTAAAGTGTGAACAGGAATAAATTGCATCTTTGATTTGGGTTCAGAAAAATCCATTTATGGTTTCACTATTGCTAAAAATTTTTGAATTCTGGATTTGGAAGATGTGATGTTTGTCATAGGCACTTTGACTTGTTTAATGTATTTCCACAATAATTACTTTTCTTCAAAAACTTGCATTTTAAGTTAATAATGTATTGAATAGCTGAATTATAACCTGCTTCCTGAAGAAAGAATTTCATGTGCATAAATATTTGTAGACTTAAAGTCTTAGTCTCTTTATCTTGGATGTTTTACCTATTTCTATGTATGTTTATCAGATATATACAATAGATTACAAAATAAACGGCACCTTTGACAGGTAAATGGACTTGATTTTTTTTCAGCCTTTTTTTCAGATTTTTTGTAAAGAGATCTCAGACTATACTATAGAATCTAGTACTGTGATAGAAAAGAAATAAGTAGTTCTGGTTCATAATATGTCCAAACAAACCTCAGTTGCCTGGCAAAGTAGGTAAGAAGATAATCATACTCTAAATTTTGCAGAATGTATGTTTTTCCCCTCTATTTCTACAGCTACTGTGCTAAAAGAATGCTAATAATGGAGTGTTTATTTTGAAACTATGGAGAAAATGATAATGAAATACCTTTCTTTTGTAGTGGATCAAAATTTTTAAGCATGCTGTTGTGGGATGTATCATTTCACTCTTGTGGTTTTTTGGCCTTACTCTTTGTGGACCACTGAGGTAAATACATATTTACTCTAAAGAATGTTACCTCTTTTTAAGCTAATTTTGTGATCTTTCCCCGTCTTGCTCCTTTGGTTTTTGTTTTCTGTCCCATGATGCCTGCCACTTGCTTATTTTTTTAATTTTAAATGAATCTTCATGCTTTTTTCCTGTGAGCTCTGCCATGCTTGGGAAAAAATACATACAGTTTTCTGTAGAACTTGTAATTTTCTTCATTCTTTGACAAGATGCCAGTGAAATTCTTGATAGTGCTTCAACTGTTAATGTGAGCAATACAAGAAGATCACTGACTGACTTACTGACTGTAGTTTTCATCATTTCCCTAATCTCATTTATGTAACCCCAATTGTTTATTTAACTGTTTGAAGTCCATGGCTTGACAGCTAGTGATAGCAGCTTGGATTCCTGTGCCAGGTGACTAGAATCAATTTTTGCATTTGTTGCAGGGCACTGCTTTATCTGGTCATGTGCCTGCACTGTGTGTGAATTGAGTAGCATTAGTGCATATACTCTGATATATGCACTGAGTAAAATCACTTGTGCTGTTTCTTAGAGGTACTGAGTAACTATAAAAGAATAACATTAGACTTCCAAAAATGAAGGTTAGTGTATTAGAAAGCATCTTTCTTTAGAGAGAGGAAGGTAAAGCCTTAAATAACACATTTTATGAAGTTGACGTTTTATCCTCTACACAGAAGAAGGCATACCTGAGAATAATAGGATTTCTTTAGGAAATACTGTAGTACCTTTCTGGATGCTGGCAGTCTTGCCAAACAGAACCAGTATGGTGGGCCCTAGCAGGTTGTATTGCTATGCAGAGAATGGCACAAGCATTTGGTAAACTTGGCAGCTTTTATTACTTTTATGTTCTGCTCCAGCAGGTGGTCAGTATAGCTTGTTAGCCTTTGCTCTCTGAAGGAGATAGTGTGCATGTTAGAATTTCTTATTTTCAACAATGAAGAGGTTCTGAGGTTGCATAAACTACTAGACGATCAACACCTCAATAAACAGGATGTAATACAACAGAACAAGACCTCTTTTTTTCTCGGAGCCAGAAACTTTGGTTTAGAAGAGGTATTGTAATGGGAATAATAATTCCATCTTGAGCAAGTTAGTGTCTTCTTGTGTTACCAGAAGAAATTACAATTTAAAGTAATCTATCAATGAATAATTCTAATCTGTTCCTTGAGTTAGGAAGTTCTTTGTTTTGTGATATGTCTAGCTGTCCGCAGCTAGATCTATTGCTGGTGAAGGCAAATAGATTTGCATTTATCCTTTTTAATTGTTTAAACTTGCTGTTGAAATCACAGGATAAATCTTTGACTGCTGTGTCATTGAATTTTAGCTGAAATAATATATTTCAAACTTGTGAGGTAAACTGCTTGTAAGTGGACATGTTTATTTCACTTTTTTATAGGACATTGTTGCTGTTTGAGCACAGTGATGTGGTTGTGCTATCACTCCTGAGTGTCTTGTTCACAAGCTCAGGTGGAGGACCAGCAAAGGTATTTAAAAATTTATTTTACCACATGCAAAAAATACCAAATGCTACAAATTCAAGTACTTTTCTACCCAGAACAGTGTTTCAGACCTATGTTCATAGAAACTGTGCTTTTTTTTAGTTTAGTTAGTGGTTAAATGATAAAATGTACTTACTACTTCACATAATAAGTATGACATTAAGAGAGAAACGGTGGGTGAAGCTGTTGAAGATCCATAGCAGATATCTGAGAAGTTTTCCTGTTTGTAGGCAGAAAGGAACCTGGAGAATGATTTTTGCACTTCAGCATTCTTTGTAATGGGATTTTGGGTTCAAACTGACAAAAGGACGTGTGCATGTAGTGGTCCCGGCCTTTAGGCACGGAAGTCTGGCAATACAGTCTCTAGATCCTTGCCTAGGCTCTTCAGTGTCTGTAGCTTTTTGTTTTTCTGCCAAAAAGCTCTCTTAAGTACTTCAATGTCTGCACGAGCCTATATGTGCTGAATACTTGGGCCCAGTCTTTCACTTAATCAGAGATCTATATTTGAAACATCCTTTGTCTGAGTCCCATTACGCACAGTTTTGCAAGGTGTTCTCTAACTGCCTAATCGGCCCTAAATGGAATGAGCTCATCCCAGCACCTAGCGGTCTTGGCCACTTTCCCTCAAAAAGAGTAAGGAAGCTACCTTATGATGTCAGGTACCTGAGGCTAGAGTACTTGCTGTGTAAGAGAAAGTCTGGCTTTGGTGCTGCCTCAGGCTGGGAGTTTTGAAATCACTGTCTCCTAACTGCTCCTGGAGTCCCCTAATCACTTTTAGGCTTAGAGTGAATAGCACAGTCATCTGCTCTGACACTCTACCCCTACCCCCCTCAAACTGAGATGCTTAGGGCATCCAGCATGAAGCTCTTCACCTGGAAGACAATTTTTTTTCCCAGCCATCCATCCAAAGGGTATATGTAGAGCTTCAGAGAGGTTCTTTGTCAATCTGTATCGTAATGGGCCACGCTTGGCAGTTAAGCTGCATGTCTAAGGCAGCAGAAACAAGGGAGCGATAACCCTGTCCTCTGGATGTTTCAGCTTTATGAAGTGAACTGTGGCAAAGAGAAGTCAGATGACTTTCTGAACGTGATAGCTGTATTTGGCTTCAGAAGATGAATTGTAGTAGTAGTTTTTAGCCGTAGAGCTCAGTGTTTTGCAAGGTGATGAATACCAAAATTGCAGTGTTTTAAGTCAGGGTGGTGAAAGCTCTGGGAGCTGGGATTTCATAGTTAGCTCTGCCCCTTCCTCATGAAAGCACTACAGACCTCTGCTTTCTCAGAGCCTTTGCACACTGCTCTAGCCTCTCCTTCCCATAAAACAAAATACTACAATTTGTCTGCTAGATCTTGTTTATAGCTCCTTGATGCTACAAAATATTAAATCATCAGGCTTAAGTAGCTCTGCATTCTGTCAGGCAGAAACACACCATGAAGAAGGAAGCAATCACACTTGAAGTTCATAAGATACAGGCTTCTGGCTTGTTATAGTGGTGATTTGCTCTAAGTTATCTGGTAAATCTGAAAAACAGAGTAAATATAAAATTATATTTTCAAGGCCACTTTTTAAAAAAACTGTGTTTTTTCCTCATGTTTTTCCTACCAAACTAAAATATGCTTACAATGATCAGGAAGGGGGGAGGGAGAGGGCTGATTTCCTGGATTTTTTTACCTTAATCTGTTACAGAATATTATAAAAATATTTGGGGTTTTTTGTTTTTTTTTTTTTTACAGACAAGAGGTGCTGCATTTTTCATCATAGCTGTCATCTGCTTACTGCTTTTTGATAATGATGACCTCATGGCTAAAATAGCAGAACATCGTATCCTTTCTTGCTATGTTTAAAAGCGAGTGCCTGTTATTGCTGGAGTGGAGAGAATGTGAAGTTGAATGCACTGAATTAAATATGCTTGCTTTTTTTTTATAGGAATCTTACCTTTCAAGAATATTATAGCATAAAATTTTACATCTAAATACTGATATTTACAGCCGAATGAATAGCAAGCATTGCTTACTTTGTTGATAACTTAGAACGCAGCTATAGATTATAAGTTGCAGTTAAAGGCTCGCTGTCCATTTGCACATATCAGACCACTTAGGATTGCTAGAAGCTTTTTTGATTAGCTCTCATGTTTTTAGAAATTCTAGAAATAAGGGCTGTAGCTTAAGTGTGTGCAGTTGACACAGGGTTGACAGCCTGGCTGGCAGTTTTTTTCGTGTATCCAGAAAGATTGTTTTGTGCTTTTGCAAATGTGGTAATCTCAGTTCATCTGCTAAGCTGAAAAGTAATGTGAAATAGCCTGCAGTAGCTCCAACAACAATGGACTTCAAACTGCAAATGGAAGCTAGTTAACAGGCTTTCAAAGCCACTGAGCTAATTGAAGTGATTCTGAAGTAAGTTTTCAACAGGTGTTCTCACCATAGTGAAGTCTACTGACAAAAAGTGGTACATCTGAGGATGGGCAGTAAAAACAAACAAGGTGAAAGTAAACTTCTCAAAGAAGGATGAAAACATGGAATGACAGATGCAAATGGTATGTTCAGGAATACTATCAATTAATTCACTGAGTTTTCAGTGAGTAAATTCATTGTTAAAGTGCCTTCTAGTAGTTTTCCCAAAAACTATCATTATTTTAATCTTTGCTGGATTGTGCCTGTCAATTGCTCTTTGTTTTCTAAAGTTTAAATATTTAGAAACTGGAAAGATACCGATGATATTTTAGGCACATCACTGGTTTAGTGCTTTTAGTGAAAGTCAATCTAACTTTTAATGCTGTTGAGTGTATTTTTTGAAGTCTGGTTGCCAAAATTAACATAAATCCTGTATCAGGACTACTGTGCAGTATTTAGCAGTGATTATGTTCTCATGTTTTAAAATACTCTTCTTTATTTTTTTTCCCCAAATATTTTTAACTATTTATTTTCTGTGGAAATATTTTCATCTTCCCTAAATTTTAAGGATCTGACGAACCTTAAAGCTCAGTTTGCCTACTTCTGTTTCCCATGGTCTTCTGCCACATCTACCTATTCTTTGGTTTAAAAAAAAAAATAATCAAATGAAACTCTTCCTTAACTTTTTTTTATTTAGCTGAGGGGCATCATGACAGTGCTCTTACCCATGTTCTGTATACAATCATTGCTTTCCTGGGTGTTGCAGATCACAAGGTAAAGAACTTGTATTTTAGTAGGTTAATATTTATCTAAGTTTTGTAGGTAAGAATTTCACCAGCTCAGAGCTAATCCAAGCCTAAATCAAAACCGAAAAGTTCCACATCCCCACTCCATATTGGAATTGAACTAGCACTGTAATTTTTACATCTTGATTGAGTGCAAGCAGCTTCAATACAGCAAGCCAAACCATACAATATGCAACTCATATAGCTGATAAGGACTTTCCTGTATTGTGTAACCTAGAAAGTCTAGTTAAAATTATCATAAAGTACTCCATGTCATCAGTGTTCTGGATGTTCATAATGCTTTGCATACAGTACATTTCTTGCTCACTTCTGGGGTCTGTGTTTTGTTGCTGCATCTTTATCTTTCCTAGTCTTTCCTTTACATTAGACCCTTGTATTTGAAGACACAGATTCTGATACTTCTCAGTAGTATAGTCCCATTATAATTGGTGGCATGAATAACTGAGTGTCAAAATCTTACTGTATGGGATTGACGTGACTGATTGAGTTGTTCTGCTAGCTTACTCTTGTTGCTGAAGTGGCTGCACTGAGGACTGAAACAGGAAAAAAAAATACATGGAGCAGCTGAGAAAGTATTCATGTAAAAGTAAATCCAGTGTTAGAGAGACTCATTAACTGTGTGCAAAGCAAGTGTGATCTAAGGGAGATGAGATGCCGTGTGTGTATCTTGTGATTCATTTATAGAATAACTTTGAAAGAAAATATTGTGAAGAAATGGTATGGTGCGATTAAAGGTAGGTGAATGGAAAGAGTATGAAAGGATTGGAGGCTGAGGTGACAAGGACACTTTTCTGGTTTATGTATACTTTCAACATTTTTTTAATAATGGAAGATGGGAAACACAGTTTTGTGTGATGTTTCTCTTTCCTTGTATGCTGTTTGCTACCAATTCACTGCTGTTGTGTGCCAGTTAACACTATTGAGAGTTTTAAACTTCAGGTCATGTTAGGCTGTTATGAATAGTGCTGATGTATAACTATGTATGCTATATTACTGTTTTTAACTAGACTAGCAATTAGAGGAAACATCCTGTCTTTGGCTTTTGTTGATAAGTTAAGGAAAGCATATTAATCTTTTTTCACCTAAGTGTCACTTTGTTTGGAGTGAGGTATTTGGCTCTCAAGAAATGCTAACAGGATCCCTCTATGTTTCCAGGGAGGAGTACTGCTTCTGGTACTGGCATTGTGCTGTAAGGTTGGTTTTCACATGGCTTCCCGAAAACTCTCTGTAGATGTAGGTGGAGCCAAGCGCCTTCAAGCTTTATCTCATCTCGTTTCTGTCCTTCTGTTGTGCCCATGGGTCATTGTTCTCTCTCTGACAACAGAGGTAAGACAAGTATAAAAATAAATCATTTTTTTGAATGCTTCTGCTTGTGAAGTGCAATTTAATTATTTTCTTTAAAATATCTTTAAATTTCCAAAGTCACCATTTTTCTAGTAAGCGCTGTTGCAAATTTTTCCTCTATATTTTGATGTATATCTGCATGATATCTTAATTTCCTTTTTCGTGTGATAACTTTATTTCATCTTTTTAGCTCAGATGTTATATCCTGCATTCATATACTAACATTGCAGAAGTATTAATGACTGTATAAATACAGGGCTCTGTTATTCCTGAGGAGTAGATTATTGTAATTTAAAGATGTGTTCATTATACCTGCATGCTTAGGGAGAGTAGACCCTTTGCAAACATGGCATTGCATATGGCATTACTTTTAAAGACATGAAAGTATTTAACATAAGGTACTGTAGTACATATTAGCTATATGTGTCTTTCTGTAGCTGGAATGTTGGGTTTATATGATAAACTGTGTAAAAGTATTTATGTTTTGATGGATTGCTGAAAACATTTGTAATGAAGGTGAACTAGATTTAATGCTGTATATACAATCACATCTAATGGTGAACAATCCTGTTTGAAATGTATTTTTTTGTTGCAGAGTAAAGTAGAGTCTTGGTCGTCTCTCATCATGCCTTTCATAACAGTCATCTTTTTTGTTGTGATCCTGGATTTCTATGTGGAGTCCATATGCTCTGTCAAGATGGAAACTTCCACGTGTGCTCGATATGGATCCTTTCTTACTTTCATCAGTGCACTGCTTTTTGGCAACTTTTGGACACATCCAATAACAGACCAGCTTCGTGCTATGAACAAGCCACCACACCATGAAAGCACAGAGCACGTTCTTTCTGGAGGGGTGGTAGTGAGTGCTGTCTTCTTCATTTTATGTACGTATTCTTATTTACCTTTTAATAAATCTATTGTCTGTGCAGGAAGCCAATCAGAAAATGGATGTGTGTAGAATTCTTTTGGATGAGCTTTTATGGATTCTTTTGAATAAAAAGGGCCTGTAACTTTGTGCTCTTTTACTGTCTGTCTAAAAAAAAAAAAAAAAAGAATGTAATAGATCTGTTGTGGAAGTGATCTAATCTTACATAGCAATGAAACCTAAGGATAAACATCAAGGTGAAGTTGACGATCATTTTGCTGCCTGCAGGTTTCATGTAAGCTTTGATTGCTGTTAAAACAGATTATAAAATAGCTGTGAAGCTTAGAAACAGCAACAAAAACTTCAATACTTTCCTTGCAGCTGCCAATATCCTGTCCTCCCCCTCCAGGAAAGGGCAGAAGGGTACCCTTATTGGCTATTCCCCTGAAGGCACTCCTCTCTATAATTTCATGGGTGACGCATTGCAGCAGAGCTCTCAGTCGTTACCCCGGTTTATTAAGGAGTCACTGAAACAAATCCTTGAGGAGTATGATTCTAGGCAGATCTTCTATTTCTTGTGCCTAAATCTGGTAAGTGCATGGTTTTTTTCAAACCCAATCACAGCAGTACATGCATAGTACAGTAAGAAGAGTTATTCTTGAAAAGGGTTCCATGATTGATTATTTTTAAAGTCACCTTTGATAGAGTAGTTTCATCAGATGGTATGTTAAGCTAAAAGATGCTTATGTTAATCTTACAGTAAGTGGCAGGTCACTTTGAGTTGTTGTCACAGTGTGGTGCTGGTTCTATGTGTAACTATTATACCAGTAAGTTTAAGATTGAGGTATCTCAATGATACCAGCAGATACGATGAAACTAAGAAGGCCTTCAAGGATGAGGACAAGAAAATAGGAAGTGTGGGACTGAGTACTGTCATTTTGGAGTAGGCTGGTTTTATTTCTAGCTTCCCTCTTTCTCAGATGGGAAAAGATCATGCAGTAAGCAAGATTGATAGAATCTAATTGGCAAAAATCTCTCTTCATTCTTTGGCAATAATCCAAGAAAACCGGGGAGAAACTTGGGGTTTCCATGATAACTTTAAGGAATTCCATTATGGAATATGAAAGATGGGAAAGAAAGTTCATAGGCAGACCAATTAATAATAGTAAATCATACAGGGAAAATATATGTATTAAAAATGTTTCCTTGTGTACCCTTCTCAAAATTAATTCACAAGATTTAAACAGTCAGCTAATTGGTGAAGAAAATGTTAGCGGAACAGATGTATAGACAGCATTGCTTTTACACTAATAATAGATCAGATCAGAGTTGTTACATTGTTTAATAACAAAATGCCTGAAACTTTGTCTGCACAACATTAGTTTAAAATTCTAAATGAAAACTTAAATCTATTCCTGTAGAGTGTTGTTTTCTTAGGTCTAAGGATTTGGGGAGGGTAGGTTCAAAAACGTCTCTTCATAGACTTGGAATGTATCACTTACTTTTGTTTCATTGGAGGAGAGAGAAAATGGTCTAGAAATACTTTGAACAATACCTTTGAAGACTATCAAGTGTCCTGTGAAGAGAGTTTCCTGCTAGCTACCAAAACATTAAATTACAAGTTAATGTTTGAGGAAAAATTCAAACTCTCTTTCGTTTTAGGCTTTCACTTTTGTGGAGCTTTTTTATGGAGTATGGACCAATAGCCTTGGTCTTATTTCTGATGGATTTCACATGCTTTTTGATTGTTCTGCATTAGTGATGGGGCTTTTTGCAGCTCTCATGACAAGATGGAAAGCAACTCGCATATTTTCCTATGGGTATGTATAGTAGATTCTTTAAGGACTATATAAAAATTATTCTACTTGCTCATTTTCAAAATGCCCTGCTATAAAGATTTTTTGGGGGATGTTTTAATGGTGCATGCTTCTGTGCATTTTTTGCTATGTCTCTTTGTTGTTCCATTTGTATTCATGCTATTCCCCTCTTACCCCAGCGAAAAAATGTCTGAAATGTAATTTTCATTTATCTCTACAAATAAAACTTATCACTGTGAATATTATGTAGAAATTGCTATATATGTGTATGCATGTCAAACAAATATGTTGAAAGTCAGGGTTTATATGGGGATTTCAGTTGTGCTGATGTAATCAAAATTTGTATGGTTAAATTGCATAGTGGTTTAGCAGTTTGAAGCCCTGAATGTGCAGTATATATAAAAGAATACTTACTTTAGTATAGCTTTATATTATTGGTACTGTGTTTGGACAGTTGCACTCTAGCTACCTCTTGGTCAGACATAAATAACTCAGAAATTAAGGTATGATTTTGTGACATTGAGGGAAAAAAAGCAATCTTAATGTTCTGTTAAACGTATTATAACTTTATTTATTATAACTTTGAAATTTGTTCAGAGTACCCATTCTTCACTCTCAAAAGTACCTATGTTTGCTTTCAGGTATGGACGTGTAGAAATTCTCTCTGGATTTATTAATGGCCTCTTTCTGATGGTAATTGCTTTCTTTGTCTTCATGGAATCAGTGGCCAGACTGGTGGATCCTCCAGACATAGATACAAATATGCTAACTGTAAGTTTTATCATTCTGTTTGAATGTTGTTTGGGAGTTAATGGTTCATTTATGTTTGTCTTAATTTAAAAAAAAATGGTAAGGAGACTAAAGTTGCATACTCAAGAGATGTGAACTGTGCCTTGACTTTTTAACATACTCTAATTTTAAAATCCAAACTACATCTAGTTTTAAAATAAGAAAATATACAGGGGTGAATATAATTTAATTGTAACAGTTAAATTGAATTTTTTTTAAGACATTACAGCTGTACAGTCTTTTTAGCTGGTGATCTTTCTACAATAAAAGATACTAAGGAAATATTCTGTACAAGACTAAATTTGGTTCTGCTGTTATGTATACCAAGGTCAATTACTACGGAAAAGATTTTATATTAGTCTCTGAGAAACCTCAAAAATCAGCTAGAATTCATAACATTATGCTGAGTGTGTAACTGTGGCTTAAACAGTTATGAAGCTGTGCATAGCTAATCTTAACTACACCTGTGTCTCTCTACCTTCCACAGCCTCTTCAGGGGCTCCCCACTTAAAGGGTTATTCTAATGCATTTATTTCAAATGCAATAGTTCATTTTCTTCAAACTAAATTTTCTTTTATTATGGAATTCTGCAAAACCATTTTTTTTTCCTAGTGAAAGCAAAACAAAGCTTGTATTCAGACCACTTTATCTCTTTTTGAAAATAAATAAAATCAATCTCCCCTTCTTAAAACTAGATTTGCTATCTTGTCCTGATTTGTGGATACTAGGTTTTGCATTTTGGTGGTGATTATTGGGTGGGTTTTTTGGGAAGGTTGGGGAGAATTGGATTTTTTTGAGAGGGGAAGAAAATTCTTTTGAAACCAGCTTGTATACTGAAGGAATATGATGAGGAATCCACATCAGAATAATCCTTCTGTTGATGTTGATGCTTTCACAGTTTTCCTTTATTAGGTGTACAGTGCCTCTGATTACCATGTTCCAGAAAATGAACACCTGGGAAGATGTAGTGATGTTAAAGACTTTTCTCCCTTTTCTCCCTCTCACAGCCAGTCTCCGTTGGAGGTCTGATCGTAAACCTTGTTGGTATCTGTGCCTTTAGCCACGCACACTCCCATGGGGCTTCTCGGGGAGGTTGCCACTCACACGATCACAGCCATTCTCACCACGGGCACAGCCACAGCCATGGGCACGGCCATTCCCACAGTGACCATGGGCACAGCCATGGACATTCCCACGGGTCTTCTGGAGGAGGCATGAATACCAACATGAGAGGCAAGTACAGACTGTTGAATCATAAATTATATATGTCATTTTCAGCAGACTTCGAAGATTTTCAGAATCAGACCCTGTAATATGGATCATTCTTAAAATCTCCAGAAGTGATCTGACAGCCATGTAATGTAATATAGATGAATTTCTCAAACTGTTTCTTCATTAATGAGTTTAACTTGAAGAAACATAACTTGAAATGTTTCTTTGCATGGCTTGCTTAGATGTGACTAATACCTAAGGACCAATAAAAAGCATTAATCTACAGTCTTCATTAATATTAATAAAAGGTCATTGTAAACTTTATTGAAAGAGCTTACAGTCCATTGTTCCAAGTCCCATCTGGAAGTGAAAGTACAAGGTTTCTATCTATAAAGATACTACCATGCTTCTAGGTGTTCTGTGACAGCTGGTTGTAAAAACACTGGGGGAGGGGATAAGAAGCAGAAGAGCAAATGCAGACCAGCAATCTAGAATATACTTCTATTTGTGATTCAGAAGATAAGGTGGTAAAGATGAAACTTTCTTTTTGAAACCTAAAATCAGAAGCTAACTGAGAAGGGTAATATATATATAAAATTTCAGCATAGCTACTTAGAATTTTTCCCCTAGCAGTTAGAAGGTAGTTATTTACCAACTGCCTGGCTTATAAAAAAAACTCTATAAAGCAATGAGGTTTTTGTGTAAGCTTGTCAGAGCGTAAGCTTTTTAGCTAATAGTCTCATATTTCATTTGTTATTTTACATCCTAATTCAGTTGGCTATTCTGTTCTCTGGCATTTTTGTGAAGTCTGCCCATACTCTTAACTATTTCAATATTCTTTCAAATCTTGACACTTAACTAGCACTAACCTTACAAAAGGTTAGAGATTATTTTTCTGTGCCCTTTGAGTGTACGATGAGATTGCTCCCACCATTAAAAAAGTATACAGGATTATTCTTAGCAGTAGCAGATAGACATCTTCTTATAGAATAGGAGCAAAGTTGGCATACAAAAACCAAATGGTGCATTAAAATCTGTCCACATTAGCAGGCCAAGGCATTTACACTCGTCCTTTTATCCTCTGTTAAGGATCAATGAGTCCCTCTGTGCAGAGTTAAATGATTATGCTATATAGTACAAATCCCACTAACATTTTAAAGACTCTTCACATTTGGTTTAATCTGCAAATGCCTGCCTAGATCATTGCACTGTAGAGTAAAAATGTGGGGGGTTTTACATTGATTTGTAATTAAACATTAGAAAAGCTAAATGTTTTTTTTAATTTTGCACCCAAGTAGGCAGATAGTTGCCTTTGTTTAGCTTCAGGGGTGTTTATTATGTTTAGTAAACACTACTGTGTTTCCGCTATTGAACATATACATCCATTTGAAACAGAACTGTTCAACTTAATCACTCAGTTTATTTTGTTTTCAGGTGTGTTTCTGCATGTGTTAGCAGACACTCTTGGCAGTGTTGGTGTTATCGTATCCACGATATTTATTCAGCAATTTGGATGGCTCATAGCTGATCCACTCTGCTCTCTTTTTATTGCTACATTGATTTTTCTTAGTGTTATCCCACTATTGAAAGATGCCTGTCAAGTGCTTTTGTTGAGGATACCTCCAGAACAGGAGAAAGATCTGCATGCTGCTTTAGAAAAGGTCAGAACTACAATTCTAAATGTTTTCATATGCAAACATACAAAGCTATAACTGTTTTGAATAATTATTAAACTCAAGTACTTGAGTCTGACAGCTTCTGTTGTCTTCAACTTCATGTCTCAAGCTGTTTTAAATATATTTTGCAGAGATGTGACAGGATTAGGAGTTCTACTGATTAAAGTTGTTTTGCAACTAAAAAAAACTTGTACTGTTTTTTGCTTTTATGGGTAGCTCATGGTTTCAGATAAGTATGGTAACACTGTGGGAAAGGTACTTAGTGTACTAAGAAAGTAATGTAGCAATTTCCAAAAGCTTGCAGCCTTTTTAAACTTCATGTGTACAGTTCAGGCTACAGGATTGTATCTTGAGCCTGTAATTGCAGGTTTTCTTACTTGTCCATATCATGAAGGGCATGGTGGTTCACAGTAGGTGAGGTGGCAAAAGTAAAGCTCTTTTTTCTAAATACTTTCTCATTCTAGTCCATTCTCTTCCTGTCTGCTCCAGTACAGTATCTGTTTTGAGGCTGTACTCAAATGTTGGCTCATTTGAAGTTCCTGCCCAGAACTGTAGTACAGACCGCAGTGTGGAGAGCTCCCCTCTGTCAAAGAACTAGCTACACGTTCTTTGAGGATGCCATCAACTAGAGGCAGCAAGGAAGACTGTTCTGAATGGTGTCCTGTCAGTTAGTAGAGGGGGAGATGTGTTCTTGTCTGCATGAGAAAGAAAAGAATAAATGGAAATTGGCTGGGAGGAGACTTGTGTGATGAAAGGAAAGTAAGGTGCAGGATGGTGTTTCACTTTTTGATGAGGGAAGACAGAAAGCAATTCAGGGAGATGGAGGAAGAAGAAAGTACTTTTTGAAAATAATCAAAGAGCAATTCATTAAAAGATTATAGGAAAAGTGTTTTAAAAAATACTTCACAGTAAAACAATATGCTTGCTGCAGGTTGACCCCAGCCAGCAGCCAGGCACCGACACAGCCACTTGCTCGCTCTCCCCTTTACCACCACCACTGCCAGTGGGATAGGGGAGAGAACAGGGAGAGCAAAAGCAAGAAAAATCTGGGAGCAATATAAAGGCAGTTTAACAGGTGAAGGAGAGAGAGGGGAAAAAAACAAGCAGTGCACCACCTTCCACAAGCAGACCGATGCCCGGCCAGTCTCCGAGCCACAGCCACCTTGGAAGCCAAAAAACCCCCTTCTTCCTCTGCCCCAGTTTTTATTGCTGAGCATGGCGTTACATGGCATGCAATATCCCTCTGGCCAGCTTGGGTCAGCTGTCCCTACTTGCTGGCATGGGGGCAGAGTGGGAAAAAGAGAAAGCCTTGACAGTGCCCAAACACTGTTCAGCAATAGCCAAAACATTGGTGTGTTATCGGAACTATTTTAGGCACAAATCCAAAACACGGCACCTTACTGGCTGCTGTGAAAAAAGTTCAATCTATCCCAGCCAGACCCAGTACAAAGATCAATTTTAAAAAATGATAAATTATGCGAAGATACTATGTCTCAGAATTAAGTCCAGCTATGGTAACTAAATAGCTGCTTATCCTGGACAGTGAGGTAGCAGATCCCCTAGAAATGGTTAAATGCCCAGCCAGCTTTCTCTTTGGTCTGTCCATTGATGTTACTGTGATCTGTACACTAAATCAGTTTTTTCTCATGCTATTTAGCATTGCATTCTGCTGTTTTTTTCATTTAGTTTGACTTTCAGCTTCTAGTCTTTGACAGTATTAGTAAGGTGACCTTTCAATGCTACGTGTTTCTATATACCACTTAGCTGGAAAGCAGCTTCGTTTCCCTGTGAAATGTTTGCCACCAATATCCATGTACATATACAAGTTTAAAATGTGTTCTAAATGAATTGTTGCTAATGTAATTTCTTTACAGATTCAAAAAATAGAGGGAGTCATATCCTACAGAGATCCTCATTTTTGGTGTCACTCTGCAAGTGTTGTGGCAGGTACAATACATGTGCAAGTGGTATCAGATGTGATGGAACAGAGAATTGTACAGCAGGTAAGCTGCAAGGGTTTTAGACCCTAATGTCTTAATTTCTTACTTTGTAGCCCTTTTTCAGTCATAAACTGAAGTTTGAAGCTGCTGTTTGTGATTATTTGTATAGCTATTAGTTGATGTCTCAGAGCTGGTCTCTAATGCTGTACTTTCCCTTGCCTGCTGGCGTGGAATTAGTTACATAAAGAGTTGTTTGCTAAAACATCTGCCAAAACATACAAAAAAAAAGTTGTTTTTTTTTCCCTTGCTGTTGAAAGTGGCACTAAGTCTGCTCTGGGAAAAGGAGAGGAGGTGGATTTCATGCTGCAAAACAGGCGGTAAACAGTAGGGATATCTGGATGCTATTCGTGGGCTTATTATCTCTCTGCTTGGGTTATTCTTTTACTTAAAGAGACACTGATCTCCTTTTGCAAGACACTAAGAATTACCCATTATGCAGAAGTTGCAAAGCCATACCCTCTGAAGCTAGTCTTTGCTTTCCAGAAAACTGAATTCTTTACGATGGTATTTTTTTAATCTACAGTATTTCAGAGCCAGAATATTGCAAGTTACTGTGAGATGCATAAAAGAGTAATCTGATGTTAACCATACTCTTCTGTTCAGGTTACAGCGATCCTGAAAGATGCTGGTGTAAACAACCTAACTGTCCAAGTGGAGAAGGAAGCTTATTTTCAACACATGTCCGGACTCAGTACAGGATTTCAGGATGTCCTTGCAATGACTCAGCAACTGGAATCCATGAAATACTACAAAGATGGTACTTACATCATGTGACACAAAGCTGTGTTCACCAAAGGACGTGTAAATGGTGAACCTGTAGGATTCTATATTCGTATTACTTTTTGTCGGGAGATCTTGCACATACGTGTACAGAAACAAATGTACTATATATTTGAATTTTTTTAAGCATACTATCTTTATTAAAATTGAATCAAGATGCTTTTATAAATGAAATAAGGTGGACCTGAATATTTGCTGTATATGTGAAAATAATGGAAATCTTAAATACTGTACCTGGTGTTTATTAAACAGAAATCTTGCAACTTGTGGATGAACATGGATATATTCCATACTTTCTCTTAAGTATGGAACATCATGATTGTAATTTCATCTTAGTGATGGGAAATGGAAATATATATTGGAATGCAAACATAATCAACTGAAAAATATTTTGCTTTCTTTCAAATACAGCTTGAAGACTCTTTGAATGAAAAAAAAATTACACGTTTATTATGAGGAGTAAAAAATAGCATGAAGCCATGTTTTTTGCACACTGTTAGAAATAACACAGTTTTTATGTTATGTCTCAGCATACGAATCTGATTTTTAAACTTAATTTTAATGCGTCAGAACAAATAGATAATACCAATTTATATCAAATTACTTCTTTAAGGAGAGAAATAGGTTAACAGTGAGAAATTGGGAGGGGAAAAGATTGTAGACACTTTAATGGTTCCTGAGAAGCCTCAGAATCAAATAACCACTCGGTAATTTTTTGTACTTTTTGTATGAATAACTGCAAATGCAATAGTTTGAAGCTTAAAGTACTTCACCAGTGAGCATCCTAGCACTCAGCTAAACTTCACCTCTTTGAGATATGTTATGCTGTCATTTACTTTTTTCCATAGTACCATAACGCAGCTGCAGGTGCACTGTAGCCAGCTGTACCTTTTTGTATTACCTAAGGAAGCAGTCCAGGTTTAGAATGCTAAACTGTGCCAGTAGTCGGGGACTTGGCAAGTTGCTGAAACAAACTGTAAAGTGAGACTTCTTGGCTGGAAAGAGAAAGGGTGTGTTTAAGAAAGAATTATGCGTGTTGGGGTCTTAATACTGTGAAGAAAACAAATCTCTGTCTTTAGTGAAAACCTGTCAATGGGGTAATACATGTCTTCAGAGGTAGTTATCTTTACATCTGTTTACAGTCTTTCTGTGCCCCCTTTTCTTCTTGGCTGAACCCCTTAAATACTTTACTTGGAATTCAGCAAATCAATTCAGGGGTTAGCAAGAATGAGTACGTCTTTGACCATTCCATGTATCATGGCAGTCTTATTTTGTCATATTGTTTTCTTGTCCTGGCGTTTAGGATCGGTACCTGAGTATCATTATAAAGACTGGACTCGATATTAGTGGAATTTGAGGATAGAGTGATACAGGATTTACATGATCAGATTCACCAGCAATGCAGTTTGAAATGTCCTTGAGCAATTCTGCTTCTCTCAGACTGTTTATGCAAACTGCATAGTTTCTTTTGGAACTCTTGAACATGTTTGCATTCCATTCTCTTCACTGCGTTAAAAACACTTACTGCAGTACAGGACTGACTTGAAAAACTGGGGTCAGAAAGTCTGTGAAAGATGCATTGCTTTTACATGAATGATGATTTTTACATGAGTGATGAAGATTGACTACACAAATCGCAGTCCCTCATTTCTCAGGATAGTGCTGCAAAACCAGCCAAGTTCTCAAAGCTTGACCCTGTTTTCTTCTGATGTATGCCTTTGGCAGTGTTTTTCTTGCCTTGCTTCCTCCAGAACGCTCAGGTCAGTTGACTAACAGTGCTACAGTTACACTTGGCCTAGAAGCAGGGTGATCTTTTGGTTTTGACAACCATTTTCAAACAAAAAGCTCATGTTAACATTTATATGTGCCACTCTCATTTGGGGTGATTCATCTGGAGCTGACAGCATTTTACCAAACCGAGCATTAGCCCCATTGTGATAAGTAGATGAAAAGGGGTGGTGATTCTTCCTTTTCAAATCAAATTAGCTTAACGTAATTGAAAAGCTTTCATGCTTGCCACAGCTTTCTCTGAGCAAATGCCAATTTCCTACTTCAGCTGCTAACAAGACCCGAAACAAATTAAGGTGGCTGGGACCATGCTAGATGTTCGTGGCAGTGAAGATCAGCTCATACCTGGATACTTGATAGGCAAGGACAAACCTGCATGTTAACACGCATCAGCAGCTTTTTGTGTGTTACCCAACACATGTGCACAGTGGTTTTCCGGGCTACCCTGATGGGAAGACAATGGCAATAAATGTCTATGTTAAATTGATTTAACAAGAGCCCGTATCTGTCAGTAATCCTCCAAAGGAGGGTTCAGACTAACCCCCTCTGCCCCATGAGATCTGTTAGAACCATGCTATAAGGGCAGGTTTTCAAATCCCAGGTGCAGGCCAACTGGTTTATATTGTAATGAGTACTGCGGTGGGGGAGTTTTTAGTCTTGTCATTTGATCTGTATGCAGGCAGTTGCAACCCAACACTTTCAAAGGTGAAGCAAAGGTTTAAAACAAACTGCACCTATGTGTTATCCGTCCGGCAGCAAGCGATAGATGCGTGTATGATAACGAAAAAATAAATGTGTTTTGCAGTAATATTGTGATGTTAGGTAGTGGCGCCTCGACTCTTCCCATTAAAAAGTTAGCCGGGATGGGAAGAGGACGGCGCGTTAAGAAACGCCCGCCCGCACGGAGAGCTGTGTTTTGCAGGATCCG